CTGTTTCAATGAATAAGAAAATTATTTGCTCCGGTCACAAGTGATTCAGGGTACAACTTCCTGAACATCATTTCAGCTGAATTATTGGTAGCATTTTCTTTCATGTGGTGATATCTGAGTTTGAAAATTGCTTGGTTTTTGCTGCACTTACTGATCTGTTTTTCTCTGTTAGGCTTCATTGCTGCAGTGACAAAGGTGGGATGATTAATTCCAGTGATCCATTAGGGTGAGACTATTCAGGAAAGACCACAGTGTCAACAACATCAAATTTTAATTTTGTTAGTTGATATTGCTGAGGCTAATTGAGCCAAAATACGGTAGTCTCTCTAGCTCTACATTTTTATAAGGTAAATTTTGCTTATGTCTCATGATAAAAGAGATTGCTTGAAGTACTTGCTTTATTCACTGTTAAAATCGGCGTCCGTTGCCTGCTTGTACATGCAGAACCTTGCTGCTGCGGCAGTTTAGTCTATCTAACTGCTGTACTCCAAACTCCCCTACAATAATAGATGTGTGGGTATAGGCTAGCACATTTATCACGTTTATCGTAGAATAATAGAGTTGTGGCTGGAACAGACCCCTGGAGATCGTCTGGTCCAGCCTTCTGTGGAAAGCAGGGCCGTAGATTCGGTTATCCAGGGTCCAGTCAAGCCAAATCTTGGAATATTTCCAGCAAGGGAAGTTGCTATCCCCTACCAGGGAACCTATTCTAATATTTCATTGTACTCACAGAAGAGATTTTTTACTTATATTCAGACCGAATGTCTGCCATCGCCTCTTGTCCTGTTGCTGAGTATCACACTGAGTATTTCCATCTTCCCTGTAACTACCTTGTAGGTACTGGAAGAGTGGTCAGATCCCATTCCTGCCCTTTCACTTGTCTAAGCTGAACAAATCCAATTCCTTTAACGTTTTTTCCCCGTGACAAGTTTTCCGACTCTGTGATCACCTTGATGCCATCCATGGGAACATCTCATAATTATGTAATGTCTCTCGAGACATTTTATAATGAATGTTTCTGTGTGTTACAAATCCCATGGTATTGCCTTTGCAAATGTTTGTCTTCCGTTGTTTTTAGAGTACTCCAAGTCCTACCAAGGTTAACCAGTATATACATTTGGTTTTGTAGAAAATTTTTCCAGCCCTTACTCCATGGAAAATATCCAGTCCTCTTGAAACCAGCGATACCACAAAACTGTTGGCTTTTCTGCCTATGAGCTCATCTCCTAACAATGGTGTCTTTGGTTTTACAAACTGCTGACTGAAGTAATTTGGACTTTCTACCACGTAGTAAATTGATAAGTTTCTTTCCCTCTGTCCTCTACTTTATTTAGTATGGTACAACCACACTACTGTATGTGGGAAAATGCTTTCATAAATATATCTGACTACAAATTGGAAACATATCTTCATCTCTTCTGGCTCTTCTATCAAACTAGTGTCATTATTCAATTTTTGAGGAGGAAAAAATGGAAAACAATTACTTTCCGTGGGTTCCCTTCTGTTATGTGTGCCAGTTACTGCACGTCTTGCAGACACTGCTTCCTGTCCTGGAGGAGTGCTCTGTTCCCAGGCATCCATGTAACACGGCAGCACATGTGCATTTAGGGGCTGTGAATATCCATAGAAGTGTATATGATTGTAAGTAGGAACTAAATTGTCTGAGACTGTAAGAAAGAACTAAATTGTTCATTAAAACATTTAACTTTTTTCCTCCTCCTCTTACAGCGTGTTTGTGGTTTTCACAGTAACAGTACAATTTTCCAAACAAGTGTGGTAGTTTATTACAGTATTTGATCAAAATGCTACTTAAGAATAACAAATTGAAGTCCCCAGGCTAATCAGAAATACTTCCCCATCAGCTAATTATTCTTTGTTGCAAACTAGTGAATGTCTGACTGACAAAAATACCATACAGCAGCTGTTTCCTAACTTGCATTTGCAGAACAGACAGCAGAGCACTGTGCACTAACGTATATGTCAAGTGTACAGTAGTGGTATGGTTTAACCACCTAATTTTGGGTTTGTTAGTCCTACTATTTTACAGGATAGTTTTATATCCATTAGAAAAAACAAGTTTAAAAAAATAAAAAGGAAAAGAGACACAATTAAGAATGATGCAAGTTTTCAATCTTTATCTGCACAGGTTTTTTATGATCAGTTTTGCAACACTGTGTATTTGTGAGAAAATTTTTGGTACTGAAAGTTTTGGATTACGCTTTGTGCCCGCAAATTGTCATAAACCTCCAAAGAGATTTGAAATTCTGAATTTTTAAGACTAAACGGTGCTGCTCCTTCTACAGACTGTACATTGTTACAGTATTTCTGTGAGGAATTTAACCTCCAGTTTTGTTAAGTCTTCCTGGTCATATTTATTTTCATGAGGTCTTTCTGACAGGGAAATGCTCACGCTCTCTTTCTCTCTTAACTTTTGGGAAATAGATGATAACGGTAACTTGCCCTGGTCAAAGAAATCTGTGAAGGAAAAGAAAATTTGAACCCAGGTTTTCTAACTTCCAGGCAAATGCCTTAAAAACCAGATTTCCCTTTGTTTCTGTTACTTAGCTGTGAATTAAGACACCATTATATAGACTTAGGTCTGCATCCTGCTGAACACTGCAGTTCTCCATAAATATTTTTTTCAATAAAATTTAGCTTTGGAAGTTGTTTTCTGGTGGACGGAGCACTCAAAATGCATTATCTGGGTGGCATTGACTGTTACATTTCAAGGTCGCTTTTTGTTGTACTAATGTTTCCCTGTCTTTAAACTGTTAGTAATATTATTGCTTTGTTTGTGCTCTTCAGTAAAAATTTAAGAGCTTGTTATTACAGGTTTGGGGGTTTTTTTGCCAATTTAAAAATAATACTCTTTACATTATTTACATTTATTTACATTCACAATATTTTTAAAAATAATCACTCTTTACATAGAGTGATTTTCACTGATAGATTTAATTCTGGATTATTTGACTGTGCTTTTTCTTAGTCCATGTTAGTTTTTCCATGATACCATAAACTAATGAAGCACAATGTTGTCTGCATACAATACCCAGCTGCAAAATTAGTTCTGGTAACAATGGAGAAAAGTGAGTATCACTGGAAAATGATACTTGCCTGTGGAAGAAGCTGCCCATGAGCTCACCCTCTGGAAAATATCCTGATGGCTCCACAGCTTAGAGAGCTTTTTTCAGTGCACAGTAGCACAAATTGAGCCAAAGTTTGAAAAGCTAGTGCTGTGTGTTTGCTTTGGCATGGGGTAGCCCTGAGCCTTTCCTTTGAGAAACAGATCTTGAAGTCTTTTGCTGAAGGGTATGATTTTGTCATTCCTTGGTACAAAATAAACTGATTCTCATCTGTTCCTATTATCACGTCATATATGTAGAAGAGTTCAAAATGTCACTGCCCAGATGCAGGCTTGTAACACTAAAAAAAAAAAAAAAATCAAAGAATCATCCTTCTTGCTTTAAAAGAAAAGACAGAGAGAAACAACCTTAGAAAGGTGTTGCTTGGTGTGTAATTACAAAGAGTTTGGGGTTTTTTCTTACACTGTAAAGAAGAAAACTTCTAGTAAGTCACATGCTTTTCTTAGATTTGCTAGACTATGCTGGTGGTCTGTAACTTGTAGCTCTGTAGGATAGTAATGAGGCATTACTAGAGAACACATAAGAACATTTTCATTTGAGGAAAGAGTTTATATTTTCCCAGATGGAAATATGATTTCTAGGGGTTTGGGTTGTGGGGGGTTTTTTGTTGGTTAGTTTGTTGGTTTTTTTTACCTGAGTAAGTTTGAGGCATACTTACAACCAGGAAATGACGTGAAAATAATTTGTTTTCACTGCACAACCTTAATATCCTTCCAATGATCTGATCATTATCAGTAATTAATGCAGGCATACTGAGATTCTCTCAGAAGCAGTTTGCTTAGGCGTGCTGCCTGCATTTCCTTCCCCTTTGAAAAATTGTGCTTGACTAGCATAGCTGCATTGCCTGTTGTTTTAATAGGTGGGTTTTGTCGAGGAAATGTAATGTTGTAAAGCTAGAAGAGTGAAAGCAAGACAGCAAGCTATTTTCCTGGAATTAAGACTGTTCTTTTCAAAGCAGGGCAAGAAAGCATGGGCCAAAGGGGGAGTCATTAATTATAAACATGCTCAAAAAACAGTATGGAAAATCCAGTGTGGAAATATGGTAGATTTTTATGCTGCACAAATTATTTTCCTGCTCAAAAGAATGTTCCCTTCTTTGTTATGCAACAAAGAGGCACTAACTTTCCTGCACAGGTCACAGAACAGTTTAGGAATATGATAAATTAGAGTTTGCCTTTTAGCTGACCCTAAACGTTTGAGCAATCCTTTAAAAAAAATCAGACCGAGATAATGTTTTTGACACACTACCAATAGCTGCAGTGGCCTCTGAATGGAGCACATACAGACATTTCTGTTCAGTCTACAGCATCCACAGCAGACTCAGCACATTTTGTTCTTGATGGAAAAACTACATTTTTTGATGCTCTTTTCTAAATTAAGAAATCAATAAATAAAAACCTTTTCTTTATGCTTTCTTAAATCATTACATAATTAAGCCTAAGTATCTTCTCCTGGTGTCTTCGAGCAAAGTCAGCCTGGAGCCAGAGCCAAAGCTGCAGTAATTCCTTCCAGCAGTGACTAGTGGCATTGCAGGGGGCTCTGGCCATGTCCCCATCCTCACTCCACCAGTCAGGGCAGCTCTCACTCTCTTTTTTAGTGTCCTTGTTATGGTCCTGCAAATTGCTCATAGTAGGCATTAGCCTAAGTGCACAAAAGCTTTTCTGTCCTTTTTTAAGAGGTGTCATAGAACTCAAGCAGTAATTATGGAATTTTTCAATATGCAAATGCCAAGGTCTCCTTTGTTTAATGGGTCCAGACCACAGTGGGAGTAAATAGCTGCTGGCTGTTATTAAGAATTATGCAACTATTTCTGTTTGAAACACTGGATCAATTGGTTGATTGATTTGTTTGTTTCAGGAATTTATCTCTTGGATTTAATCTACATTGATTCTGCATATCCCGCTTCAGACAGCATTATGGAGAATGAACAAAGATCCAATCAAATGAACAATATCCTCCGAATAATAGCTGATCTGCAAGTCTCCTGTAACTATGGTTGGTAAATTTGGTTATGCCTATTAAGCCTTAGCTAAAATTTCTTTAGTACAACATTGTGAAAGCAGTTTTTGGCCCTTAGTAAAGGCAACGCAAGAGGCTAACGTTGGTAGAGTTGGACACTGACAAGTGATATAGCTTCCACTCCTGTGAAGCTTTGGTCTTACCAGTAAATTGGGCAGATAAATATGTATTCAAAACTGTAAGAGCTATGACAGAGGTTGCATAGAGTTTACTGCTACATGTGGGCTACAGAAGACGTACTTTCAAGTGCAGCTATTGCATTTGTGTTATATTCCATTTCCACCAGAGGCAATTAGAGAGAATTATTTTAATATTTTCCCTTTACCGTGCAGTAGAAATGATGAGTGTAGAATGTGTCATTTCATTATAATTTTGTTGTTAACATCCTGATGATACATTTACAAAATGAAATACAAATATTTCAGTCTATACAAGTTGTTCACTTGTGTTAAGCTTTTCTGCGTACGTTGCTCCTGGATGAAGTGATGAAAATGAGGGCTAGTTCCTTTTGTTAACACGATTTTACTCTAAAATTCGTTTCTGCAGTTCTAGCCTGCTAGTGAAGCCGTATGTCAAGAAATGTGCTGAGTTTGGGGTCTTGATGAATACTCGGCGTGCTTTTGGGGACTTAGCATGACTTTTCATTGCTTAAACATGAAACAAGCTGATAGGCCTTGACAGCAACTCTACAACTGAATAAATTCAGGACATTTAAGTGCTACAGTTTTGGAGAGTTTAGTAAAAAAAAATGAAATGTTAGATTGTGAGAACACGGGGCGAAAAATTAACTGTGTATGCTGAAGTATCCAGCCCTTGTCCTTTGGTATTATTGTCAACTTTGGTATTTTAAAGTATTTAAAGGTAGTGACTAGCCATAGTAATGTATGATTATGAATAGCTAGATTATTCAGAAGTCATTTTCTTGTTGTAAATTTCATTTTGTCTCTGAATACTTTGAATGACAAAGAAACCTCATTATTTCAGTGACCCTTGCCTTTTGACAGTTTTGGTATCTTCCTGCAGTGCTATGCATTGAGTGCTTTCGTTAAAACCAGGATGAAAATTAAAATATGGCCTTGAAGAAACAATGTTCTGGAATAATGGGTGCCTTTAAAACAGTTGTCTTGTCTTTACAAGAGCATGAAAGTTAAGTTAGGTACTACGAGGCATATTCCTGTCCATGCACCCTGTGTTCAGGGGTTCTTCTGTCATTCTGAACTTAGTGTCTTTCATTCTTGGTATTCAGCATTGTAATTTTTAATTAATTATTTAATAATTTTTAAGTCTCTTCAATTCTTGTTCATAAGAGAACCACTAATAGCCGTGGCTGCAGGTTTTGATTTTCCCCAGAACAATGAGCAAAAATTCTAGCAGAGTTTGCAGCAAATAACTCTTTTCCACCTGTAAGACAACATCTAATAAAATCCATGAGCTTTCCTGATGATTAAGTGTATCTTTGTTTTGTTTTACAACTGAGAGCATCACTGTTGCTCCATCTTTAACATCTTAGAGTCAAAGTAGTATTTCTGCCTGATTTATTCCTTAGGAAAGTTCAAATTCTCTTGTTTCCATTAAGGTAACCGTGAGAACCAGAAGAAAAACCTGAAACAATAATCAATTTTGGATGTTCATCTTCTTTGTTTGTTTGTTTGAACACTCCACAGATCATCTTACAACACTCCCCCATGTGCAAAAGTATTTGAAGTCTGTCCGTTACATTGAAGAACTTCAGAAATTTGTAGAAGATGACAATTATAAGTAAGTACTGTTCTTTTCTTCAGGCTTTGGGAAATTTAGAGGAAAGATCACTTGGTTCTTAGTTTGGTTAGGAGCTGAACAAAAAGGCCTTGGCTGAAGATGTTTTGGAGCGTTTCTACTGAGTAAAATCCAGAATCACAGTCTTCCTTTATGACTATAAGCAGATTTACAAAATGAAATGTATTTGTAACAGTTAAAAGTAGATGAAAATCTAGTCTTTATTCTATTACATGATGGTCGTATGCTGGGAATTTTGTTCAGTAACCCTAAAATCATCTCCAAGATTGGCTCTCTGGTGTTATGAATAATACATTAAGAACATCTACCAATTTCAAATAACTATTTTTAATAAATTGGTGCTTAAGATTTGGAGGTTTAAGTTTTGGGGGTTTAAGTGTGTCAAACCAATGCTTACAGAAGACCAGGAGAAGAGCTAACCCGCACAATGGTTTGATGTTTTCATAGCAAAGTTTATCTGCTCCGTGGAATTAGAATTCCTGCCAGAGTACTGATGCATGTTCTTCCTTTTCACATCCCATGACATTGTATATGTTTCACATATAGAGACAACATTGTGCAAGAGATGCACATTGACCATGAGCAGTGCACACAGCCTTTGAAAAGGTCAGGCAGACCAAGACATTTGTTGAAGGTAGTCTGAGAATTAAATCTCAATGTTAAAATTTAACACATGGTCATTATTTACTAATTTCCCCCATACTTCCATGCTTCATTAAAGTAGTGAAGATAGAGCAAAATTAAACTGAGTAGTCATTGGTAAAGGTGAAGACTTGTAGTTAGGATAGGCTTTACAGCCCTTGGATTGGATTAAAGAAACTGGTCATGTTGTTTAGTTTGATTTTTAGATGGAGTTTCCTATTGACGCAAGTGTTTATACAATAGCTTTTATGAACTGTACTATCTTAGAAAAACAAATTAAGGAAATGTTTTCTATAAACAAATGATATTATGACAATATTTGGAAAAAAATGCAAGTAATTCCATTTTAAATTTTAATATTAATTTAACTTTAGCAGCAGCCTTGCTGATAATGCTGTAAGATATTTGATGTATCTTAAAGATCATTTAGTACTTTTTCTTTTGATTTAGTTATTTGTGAGACTAATTCAATCAAGTTGAGCAGTTTTCTTTCTAGGCTTCACTGTGGCAAGGAAAAACTTGACTAAAGTCACAAATGGTATCAAAAAGAAGGAAAGATTAAATTCTTACCACAAGAAAGTTACTGCAGCTTACATACATTGGAGAACCTTGATCTTTTTCTGCTGTATTTGTTTCGTCAGACTAAAGCTTTAAATTAAAAAAAACCTCTATTAATTTAAATTCATCAAAACTCATCACATTTAACCTTAAAGGAAACTCTCATTCCTCATCCATTTTTGCATTTGGTAAGAAGCTTTTGGATTTTCTTTTGAATATTTGATTTCACATTTTCCTCTCAGTTTCCCCTAATGGATCTTTAGTTTCATAGCATTTTCTAGTCCCGTGCCAGAAGAAACTTTAAGCCTAAAAAATGCAGAGTACTAAGTTTTTAGAGTGGGAAAGAATCTCCTCTCTCTTCCTCTTTCCAGTGACTGCTCTTTTTGAGCCAAGGACAGCATTAGTGCTCTCTGCAGAGATGTATGTGTGACCTTTGGCATGAAGAACAGAACTGTCACACTACCAGGCTGTCAGGGAAAGAAGCTTAGATAGTTGCCCTAAAATGTATTGGCAGAATCCCAGCACACGTTTCACCAAATGAGAACCTCAATTACACTGAAAAGGAAAATTTGGCAGCCAGTTTATATAAACAGAGCTTTTCTCTACAATTTTTTGTGCTAGTCCAATTGCTTCCTTTAGGTTCATGCTTGTCAGCAAGTAGGAATGCTCCAGAAAACCCCTGACAATGATATCATACCCTAAAAATAACAGATCTTTCTTGCGCAGCCTATATACTGTTTTTTTGCAGAAGCTGCCCAGTTATAGCAGTATACAACATTGTGGCACCATGCCGTATCCTTTCCTAACCTGACATGCCTTGCAGCCATTCCTAAACAATCTTTTTGCTGACCTTTTGGTATCATTAGGCCACTCCTTTTATTCTCCACAGTTGTTCTTTGAGTAAAACCAGTTTTAAGATTATTTTTTGTATTACAATGTTACTTGTCTGGACAGGAGAGTCAGGATTGGAATCCTGTTGTGTAAGCTTCTACTATACCTATCTATACCTGTAATTCAGTCCTTCAGAGCATATTAATTCAGTCCTTCAGAGATATTCCAATATAGTAGTAAGATGATTTATTGAAAAATCAGTTCAAATTTAGGTTCAGATAGGCAGGATGCTACTGGAAAGCATCCGAGAGAAATTAATAGGCAATTAAAAGGTTATACTGACTCCTAGCAGTGCTGGTACTCTAGAATTGCGAGCTGCACTGTGTTAGTTCTAGTCCTGTGGGAACGGGAATATTAATACTGATAACAGTGAACCTTGGCCACAGTCCATCTTAAAAAGGCCTCCCAGGCAGCTCTAGTCTCTGGACCTTTTCCACCAAGAATTGTGATCAAAGGCAGGGGGAGGGGAAAACCTTCACTGTTAGTCTGAGATGCATACTGATCCCATGGCCACATGGTTCAGTAGCTATAATTGTGGCTTGACTGCCTCTTTTTCAGGATACAGAGTAGAATCATAGAATCATGGAATCACTAAGGTTGGAAAAGACCTCCAAAGTCATCAAGCCCAACCTTTGAACAATCACCACCTCATCAACCAGACCAGAGCACTGAGTGCCACATCCAGTCATTCCTTGAACACCTCCAGGGATGAGGACTCCACCACCTCCCTTGACAACCCCTTCCAATTCCTGACAGCCGTTTCCATGAAGAAATTCCTCCTGATGTCTAACCTAAACCTCTCTTTGCACAGCTGGAGGCTGTTTCCTCTTTTCCTGTCCCTTGTTCTCTGGGAGCAGAGCCCAACCTCCCCCTGGCTCCACCCTCCTGTCAGGGAGTTGCGGAGAGCAAAAAGGTCAGCCCTGAGCCTCCCTTTCTCCAGGCTGAGCCCCCCCAGCTCCCTCAGCCGCTCCTGGTGCTCCAGACACTTCCCCAGCTCCGTTCCCTTCTCTTGATGCACTCCAGCCCCTCAATGTCTTTTTGCAGTGAGGGGCCCAAAACTGACGCCAGGATTCAAGGTTTGGCCTCACCAGTGCCCAGTACAGAGGAACAATCACTACCCTGGTCCTGCTGTCACACTATTACTGACACAAGCCAGGTGCCTTTGGCCTTCTTGCTCACCTGGGCACACCTGGCTGATCTTCAACTGCTGTCGACCAGCACCCCCAGGGCCTTTTCTGCTGGGCCGCTCTCAAGCCACTCTGTCCATCCCCAGCCTGGAGCATTCCATGGGGTTTTTGTAACCGAAGTGCAGGAACCAGCACTTGGCCTTGTTCGTCTTGGCCTATCAGTGCCTCCTGCCCAGATCCCTCTACAGAGCTTTCCTGCCTACCAGCAGATCAGCATTGGTATTGTCTGTAAACTTATGGACTGCGCACTCAATCCCCTCATCCAGATCATCAGTAAAGATGTTAAACAGGACTGAGCCCAAAACTGACCCCTGGGGAACCCCACTAGTGACTGGCCCCAGTTGGATGTGGCCCCATTCCCCACCACTCTCTGGGCCTGGCCATTAGCCAGGTGTTTCCCAGTGAAGAATGCACCTGTCCAAGCCATGGACTGCCAGCCTCTCCAGGAGAATGTTGTGGGATTCTTGAGGAGCTTCCAGCAACCTAATGTTGCTGAACCTCCTGTTGTAGGATCTACTGTTTAAATGCTAGACAGGCAACCAAAAATGTTTCAGATATGTCAGACCCATTTTGTTTCGTATACAAATTGTGGTCAGAAATTGTGCCCCGAGGGACAGCTTTGAGGACTGCACTGCTTTGTTGTGACTAACATTGTCCTTGTCTCAGCATTGCCTTAAATCTGATAGCAGGTCATAGCACTTCCCCTGATGTACATATTCATAGACAGTATTTCACCTGTGCTGTTTTTCAAACGTGCAAAAGCTGTACTGAATCTTAGACCTTGATATGCAGTAAGCTGACGAAGTTGGTACAAAATGTAAAGTTAGACAAGTGATTTCTGGCCTTCTCGGGGACGTGACGTAGTCCTGCTACACTGGTTCTAAATAATGCCTGATTCTGTAAATAGTTGTCTGAAATTATAGACTGGACCTGCTTAATGAGAACAATTCAGTTCAGCATGCTTAAGAATAAAGCTAGTTTCTAATCATTATGTACAGATTTAAATTCCTTTTATTCTAACAAAGCAAGAAGTTTTCAGGAGGAATGCATTACAAATCACATCACCGTGAAAGAAAGAAGCGATTTGCTTACGTGGACTGAATTGCAGTCATATCTCTTTGCAGTGGGCTGATTAGACAGATGTTTCCACAGTGACCAAATAAACTGTAGCTATTGCCTGAGAACTAATAAAGCTGAGTAACTTACTTGATAACAGGGTAAGGAAAGAACATCAGAAATGAGCTCCTCAAAGCTGGCAGAAACTAAACATGCCATTTTCACATATGGGGAAGAACAGGTAACATCTCCCCTGTACAGACAGAAATAGAAGAAATCAACAATTGTGGAACAGTGATGGGTTAGCAGGAGGAGGGGTTGTCTGCTTCTGTTTGGAGAAAAACTGTGAAACAAGTTGAAACGCATGTTCTTCTTTGCCTAAGGACTTTGGTTTGTCAAATATGAGCTAACCTGGTAAAATGAGCTTAATATCTAAATTTTTCAGCATCTGTATATGGCACAGTTCTGCAGGAGATTATTTATGAAAAAAATATAGAAAGCTTTCTATGCAAAAATCAAGCTCACAGCATGGGAACAATAAAGCTCTAATATAGTGAGGAACAGATCACCCTTAAAAGTGAACAAAGGAATAACTACTGGGCAAGGGATGCAACTGGAACATTTCTACAGACATGGAAGATAAATTCACCCAGTAGGGCCCTGTTTACAGGGAAGTTCCCCCTGTTACAAGGGAAATTCTTTTGCCATTTTTCCATATTGAAAGAAATTCCCACGTGATCAGCATTTGAATCATGCACTTGTATTGTTGTAACTCTCTCATTGTTGGCTTCTAGGAGAGTCATGGTACTGCTTCCGAGTCACAGAAATCATGCTTGCAGAAAGAAAAGGTAGCCTGGAAAGGAACAATTGATTCATTACCTACTTGAAATACATTACTTTGGGTAGTTAAAAGAATGTAGTACTATCAGAAGAATAGAAATTCAGTAACATGAAAAGTGACCGTACGTTTGTTAACTGACTTCACACTGAAACATAGTTGACAGTGTTTGAATACTGTGAAAAAGAAACTGGAAGGTATTCCCCATAAACAGGGTAAGAAAAATGATAGTTGGGCCATACATGATATTTTGAAATGCTCTCATAGGTTCTTTCCCCTGTCCCTCTGCACATTTTTCTGTGCAGTCAGAAAGCCTTTCCTGGGTGCACAGTTGAGAGGTGCTCGAGATCTCCACAGCTGCTGCGTGTGTGCAGTGCTGTGCAGTGACAGCAGCTATTTCCTTTGGGGTTATGACTATTCCGTTAAAACTTACTTAACACTGTAGTCCTCCATACCTTTTTGTCAAACTGTGTGTACAGAGTAAAGGACCCATGAATGTCAAGTGCCTAAACTTGAGAGATGGCAGAAGTGACGTGCGGTGGGAGATGGAGACAGATTGGAGTGCTGAGATAACGCCAGAGCGAGTGAGGTCATCATAGAACACAAGGAGTTTGGCAGAGTGACATATAATATTTTCTTCCAATTATCTTCTTTTCTATTAAGTGTTGGTAACTTGGTTACTTTTCTGTAAGTCATAATAACTAAATAACTGTTTCTGAGTGCATGTTTCCACATGGTAACAGCGTAAATTCACTTTCATGCTCGGAGGGAATAAAATGTTTGCTGTTAGGTTTGTATCTAAATTATTAAGTTTTTAGAGGGTTTTTTTTCCAGGTAAAAGACTGTATGAACTTACAGTTTTACACTGAGAGGGAGGATAAAGTAACAATTTCCCTTTTTGTTTTCATAGACTTTCCTCACTGCTTCTTTCTTGGTTCTAACAGATAGTGATTTACTTTGAAAAAAATTATTGTTTTGTTACATCACTAAATAAATAACTATACTTCCAAGAAAGTAAAATTCCTACTTAGCACTGCCAAAATAATTACTTTCAACTTTTATTGAGAATTTTTTTTTGTTAATTTCTCTAAAAACTTGTTTTTCCAGATTGTCTTTAAGAATTGAGCCAGGTAACAGCTCTCCTCGACTGGTTTCCTCCAAAGAAGATCTTGCAGGTATAAAACATTGTTTGAAAACTTGAGTAAGGAAATAATTTAATTACAGACATCCTTCACTGAAGTGTATGAGAAAACCCAGAGGTACATCAGTAGCATGAGTCAACAATAAGAATTGCTGACTTATTTAGAAACAGTTGCAGGTCAAGGGATGACTCAGGGTGTTTGCTAGCATTGGAACAGATGTCAGATTGTGGAATTTTTCACAAATGCTTGTATTTTCATGATTATTTAATAAGTGATGAAAAAAGGGCCGTCTTTCAGTACAAACAAATCAGTGCAGTGAATAACATAGGAAATTGTCCTTTCAGATTTCTGTGTGATCATATAAATTTGAGACAATTTCATTGTGTAAAGCAGGAGAACAAAAGCTTTGTAACAGCTTCTAGCAACATCTGAATAACTGTGGTACCACCCATAAGTTGACCAAAACTAATCTGTTTATTTCTATGAACAGACTAAGCAAACATCAGACTGTATGAAATGTACCTACTGCTATAGGAGCCATTATCTCAAAAGCTGTTCTTTTTTAATCTCTTGAACCTGAATGGCCAATTTTCTGTCTCATTATGTTAAACCACATGCGAACGTAAAAGACTTACGGGGTCCAGACCACATCTGACAAGCAGTTTCATTTGGCATTCAAAGTGTCTTTTCTTCTCACTGAATGAGAGAAAGAAAAAGGAAGATACTAAATATGAAAGAAAAAAAAAAAGGGGGGGTTTCGTCTGCCTCCCAGGTCTTCATGTTGGCAGCTGTCAAATTACCATTTTTTTATAGGGAACCTCTTGTTTATCTCAGGAGTGTGATTGCTATTCCCAGAGCTCAATAAACAGTTGACCTGGTCTTCAGTTTCTTCAGGAAGGTGCTTTCCCTCTTCCTGCTCAATGCTCAGTATTATTAATTGTTGTGGAATAGGAATAAGGAAATAGTTCAGAGGAGAATTTTTTTTTATTAGGTGAGTTCAAATGTAGTTGTTAATGAACACGTGCATTTGAAAGTTTACTTCTCTGTAGCAGCCATCACAGTGCTGTGCTCTGTGTCTGCAGTTGGAAAGTTGTTGATACCTTTCCAAGGTATCAGGCTTCTGCTGAAGTACCAGACTTCTGCTAAGCAGTGCCCACAGCACCAAGGCTGTCTCTCTGAATTCAGCCCCCTGCCAAAAAGGCCAGTAGGCTGGGTGTGGACAAGATGTTGGCAGGGGACATAGCCAGGACAGCTCATTCAAGCTGCCCAAAGAGATATTCCATACCATATGACTTGCTCATCAATGAAGGCTAAGAGAAAGGGGGGAGGGAGGCATTTGTTACTAAGGCATTTGTCTTCCTGAGTATCTGCTGCAACGCTTCGGTCAGACTGTGGCTGCTCATTGCCTGCTGATGGGAAGTAGAGGATAAAACATTTGTTTGTTTGTTTGTTTGTTTTTTGCTTCTGCATGCAGCCTTTGCTTTTCTGTGTTAGATTGCCTTTCTCTCAACTCACGGGAGTTTTTGTATCTTATTTTCTTTGCCCCATCCTGTGAAGGATGGAGAGTGATGGAGCAGCTTGGTGGGTACCTGACAGCCAGCCAAGGTGAACCCACCGCATCATGTCATACTTTCTTTTGCTTTTGTGATGATTAGCTTTTTCACACTAGGAACTTGAAACTAAGTCATTGCCTCTCATTACATATTTAAAGCAGACATATGAGTGAACTTTTTTGTTTTCTGGCTTTTGCTTTGTATTGCTCATGTTGACATGCTCAGTATTTGGGCTTTGATGCTAACATTTCATTAGGGTGTTTATGGAATTTCTAACTTTGGTCATAGCAGCATAGTATGTGATCATTGCCGATATTCTGATTCTTAATCAAGGTCTGAGACTTTATTAGAACTATAAAGGAAGACAATTAAAAATTCCAAAGTTGGAAACAGGAAGTGTGAACTCGCCTGAACTAGGCAAGTAATATGGCATGATACTGCCTTGAGTTCAGCTGGAGTCCACAAAATAATGATGACAATGTTCAGTAGTACCTACTCAATTGAATATGCGATCATGTGGTATCTGGCAGTATTAAGAGAGGATGAATTTTCCCTTCTAAGTCTGCAGTGACCCTATGTGCTCTGTAAGGTTGCTTTGTTGAGAGTGAGAATTAATGTGATGACTAGAAACCAAGTGCTGACTCATTCCTATTGCTCTGTTTTTCTCTTAATATTTCCTTCAAAAGCTTGACCAACTTGTGGGCTGCTGTATTTCTTGCTCAGCTAGAGAGTTTTCACTTACTGCCAGTTAGACAATGAATGCCATCAGCATTTTCTAATACTGACAGGAATTTTTCAGTGACCTGCACCTATGTGGCTGCAAAAATGCTACTAAAGGGAATCCGGTGTATTTTACTGAAAAAACAGATTTATTTCTGGAGAAGGTTAGTTAAGTAAGGTCGCATGAATTTAAATTGAAATTTAACTAAGCATGAAGGCAATAATTTACTGTATATTCCACAGCATTAATAAATAGAAATATAGCCATATGGTAGTCTTAAATAATTCTGAGCTAAAATACTCAAGTATCAGTAATGATATATTTGACCGTGGAGAATTAAAAATAGCACATTTGCAGGTATTTCAGTCAGTTTTATTTGGTTTCAAATTATAGTTTGAGATTAATTCCACTTCAAACGTTGTGCATCATAAGTAAGTCCTTTGCAGTCAGCAAGCTGTAATGATAATAGATGATCTCAAAGGGCTTTGGGCAGCAGTTTAATGTTCCAGTCAATAGTTTAAGTCATGTGAGTCTCGTTATAGTAATTTTAAGGTAAAATAAAGGTTCTTGGCCCATAAGGACAGTCATCAGTTCAGTTCTCTCAACAATCCAAAAGTTAATATGTTCCTAATAGCAGTTAGTCTAGTCGAGTTCTCCCTGTGACATGCTGCATCCTCACACAGGTCGGTGTGTGTTTCCAGAGACAGAAAAAAACCTCAGTATCGTTGGTAATAATTCCAAAGTCCATAATGGGCTTAAGTGCAGGGAATAGTGTCATGTTCATGTCCTAAAGTATAATTGTTTGTGTTCATGATGGAAATGGATTTTACTTGCCAGCACTGCGACTTTATCTTCTACTGAGTTTTCTCTCTTTCGAAAGAATATTAACAGTTTACCCTAGCCAGGGACATTGTGGTTTTCTTTTTTTTCCCCCTAAAGTATCTTTATGAGTGTTGGGCTCAATAAAAACAGTTAAATCTACAGTATTTCTGGAAAGTACTGGAGAAAAACCATGTGTCCATTTTCCACTTTGTTTGCCAACTGGTTTTCCAGTAAATTTGAACAGGAGGTAGGCATCTGATTAAAGTGACTGTCTCACAACAAGCTGTGTTTTGTATATTAGTGGCTAAGAGAGTCTCATTTAATTACCAATGCATATATAATTGTGAATAGTGCTTTCACAGGAAGATTTTATATCTTCCATGATGCTGCAGAGATTCTTGTCTCTTGCAAACAGCATTTAAAAAGGAGCTTTAAGCAGTTTAGCTGAATGCTTTCAGGAACTGTGTGATTCACACAGCTTCCTTGGCAGCAACTTTTCATTCTGCCTTGCTGTGGTTTGAGAGAGAGAGAGAATGTAGCTGGAGAGCTTATAGTATGCTAACTGTTCACAGTTTCCAGTTGAATTAGCTGTAAAAGACATCTGTGTTCCTGCAGCGTTGGCTGGAAGGTGCTTGGCATTTATGGTACGGCTGTTAGGTTGTTTTGGAAGGTATAACTCAATACATTTTCCCAGAACAAAAGAAGATTTAATGCAATATATGGTAAATAAGTTAGTCTTCTAAGCATCCGAAGTTCCTCAGAATTCGCACACATCAGGAGATAAAACTTTATGTATGTTCTGTATTATCATGTTGCTTTGAAAAGTTTAGGGCACAGTGCTAATCGAAATTTAGAGAGTGGATACTCATTCTCTGAAATATACCATGTTTATCCTGTCTTGGAGAACAATATAAACAGTTAAAATAATATTAAAATAATTATCCAGAAAATTGTGTCTAATAGTAAGTGAATCAAAGACCGATCTTAACGATTCTGTGATTTTTAACAAACCCCTTCATTAAAGTAGCATCTAGCATTAGAGTTAGCAACAGCGAGGCCTCCGCTGTGGGTAGCCCTTATTTTGGGGGTTTTGTTATGCAGTAGTCAGGGATGGACCCTCACCCCCTCCCTTTTTTTTCTTTTTTGTCCCCCAAGTAGGTCTTTTTGAGCCATCCTACCAGGATAATGGAGTAATTAATCTGAAACAGGTATATTCTCTTCTTTGTTATTGGGGTAAAATTCAGCCTTTTGTGCTGTGTCCATTCAGCTTTGACAGGTAGCTCATAAACAACTTTTAATATGTATTTTAATTACTTAGAAGAGGTAAATTTATTGGATGTGGAGTATGTGTTATGTAGGAGTTGAAAATGTAGAAAGAGAAGAAAGAAAGACTGGGATGTTTGCACATTTATAACTCTCTGAAGTAGGTATACTACACTGGTGATACCTCTGCAGCAGTCCCAGAATTTTAGAATAAAACCCTCCCACCCTGTCGTTTTCTGTGTAAACACTGAGTTTGACATTTAGTTTTCCATTTGTTTTACTGGTTGCTTTGGCAACTAATAAATAGTTTGCGCTAAGTGCATTAGCAGCCAATCATTCTGTGGAAATGAGGATTGTCTAATTCTTGTGCAAGTTCTTGGCCATTGCTTCATGTGCAGTGTCTGCTTTTCTTACACGGGACTTAAGGTAGAAATGGAAGAACTAAGTTTTCCTTACATAAATTTACAGACTGTCCAGGAAACTTTGCTCTTTCATTTCCAATCTCTTCTTCTGTGATACTTTCCAGACAAATTTTTACAAGTCACTGGAGTATTTTTGAAACAAATTAATACCAGACAAATCTGTGGGATTCACATGTTATCAACCACTAAATCCAACCGGAATTAATGTACTTGGGCTTTTTCCTTAGTATACCAAAGGTCCACCAAAATTGT